AAAACAGGAATATGACCAGTCGTTAGGTAGCTTCTACCAGTTCTCTTCGACGCTGAACCGTCTAATCGTCCAGCACCCAATCATTCATGCATAAGCTACCAAGTCAAGGAAAAGTGGCGCAAGCGCTTCATGTAGCGTAAAAACCAAATTACTGGATTGAATAAGGGCCCCAATTCGACTTTGGGGAGCAATTCGCATTTGGCTACTCCCCGTTGTCTTGTTCATTGCTTTGTAAGAATTGGCAGGTATTCTTTTCAAGAGGTGACAAGTTTGATACCCCTTCTGGCTTGACAAGATTTCATAGATCTCTACTTGAAGGCTTGGAAGTAGAAAAAAAGTCCAAGTGCCCCACCTCAAGCCGAACAGCTATATTAAATTGGCGGCATCTGGTATCAAACACTACAGTTCAGCAGCAACCGAAGTACTGACTCTTTGTCGATACTTCGAGGCGCGGCTCCCGCAAAGGTCCCTGCTCACACTAATGGAGGTACACTCCTTATCCTGAGACAGAGTAGGCGTGGCATTTGAACATGGCATAGAATGGTTACTCGTGGAATATTTCAGTTGAGACAACTGTCATCTTGTTCTGTGTTGGACAGAGACATGACCACAATTGTGTCAAAATGAAAATATCTCACCAAAAGCACAGCCACCGCCACGTTTAGTTGAAGTATGCAGTACGCAGCCACGCCTACCACATCCCAGGGATTTCGAGTGTACGATCAAGGCCAATTGGAGGCAGCACAGCGACACTCCATTTCCCTAACTGCTTCATTTCAAATCGCTGAGGAAAGCCCTAAGCACCGAAATATTTGAAGGAAGAAACAAAAATATTTGTACTTCATAAGAACTTTTTGGATTCTTTTAGGATCTCCGGGGTCTACTGCAATAAAACCTTTGGTGCCTCCTAATTTTTCTGCACCCGCTTCAGCATGGTAATATCCCCTTAACAGCGCCTAAAAGACACACTGTACGATTACGAGGGGTGGTATATCCGTATGCTTCATGTGGGAAGATACGCAGCTCTAGAAGTGTGCCACTCCGATCACTCGGAAGTACATAACAACAGAGCTGAATGCTTGGAATAGTTCGGTGCTTAT